TTTAAAGCACTATTAGACATTTATTTATGCGAATCCTCGCGGTGGCAAGCATACTGCCCCGCGCTGAGAACGTAAAGAGCAGTGCTACACCCTTTTTCACTTGTGCCTTTCAGGTGAACGACAGCCACTGACCGACAAGAACAAAACCGACCCGGGAACCTTGGGCAAAATCCTCGATTCTGTGTATCTCTCGGTGAATCCTTGAAAAGGTCATCGATGTTTTGCACACGCAATTTGACAGTTTCGCATTCTGAATCTACAAGGCTTCATTTACGTCTTGTTTCATCCTTATGTTAGGAAGGGCTACTTTTCCACGAAATTGGTTTTTTTTATAATTTGCAAACGTTCGCCAATCGCCATTAACCTTGCGGTTCGAAGCGGTGCACTAAGAGGAGATATCGCCATGGACCACTTGATCAGATTTTCATCATCCCTGCGGGAGGTAAAAAGAGCTATATTACAGAAGAAATGTGGTGATCGAAATTGTCTATTTAAGGTTGTCTGGTAGCTGAATCTATCTGCAATCTTGAGTCGCCCACCAAATACCGACCAATTGGATACCTGCCCTAATTTTCCTGAATATGGACCAATCAGAACCAGAGAATGTTTGGCTCAATTTTTTGCCCTTTGATCCTTCCACTTTGACCCCTTAGAGGGTGGTGTTCTCTATAAATACTGCTGTGTCAACCCTCCCTGACTGCCACTTATGACTCCACAATAAGTTGCAATCCGTGTTTCTACCTTATGTTCTCTAGTAGACGGAACGGCATGACGTCGACTAGCTACTAGTTACGTACACTTTGTGGCCTCCAGCTCGAGATTGCCGCTACTTCTCGGGTCGGGCTGCGCCTCTTGTCACTTTCATTCAGGTTTTAGCAGAACGAAGTGGACCGGCTCTATTCAATATATCTAATACCATCTCTCCAGTGGATTTTGGTGGCTCAAAAATTTTACTGACGTGATTAAACGACTGCTTCGAACGCATAATCTAACTGGCGAGAAATATTGGCGTGAAGCTGACTGGCAGAGGGTTGAAGAAATCCTGCTATTGCCTGTTCCTGCTGGCCGACTCAATTAAATCAAAACTGGGTTTCGTCGTAACCAGTAGGCCTTACTGCTGCGGGAAAATCCGAACTACCAAATTGCGAGAACGCTGTTCACGGATTCACGGACTGATACGCGGTCGAGGCTTTTGCCTAAGTTTCCCGGGTCGGTTTTGTTCTTGTCATTCAGCGGCTGTCGTTCACCTGAAAGGCACAAGTGAAAAAGGGTGTAGCACTGCTCTCTTTATGTTCTCAGCGCGGGGCAGTATGCTTGCCACCGCGAGGATTCGCATAAATAAGTGCCTAATAGTGCTTTAAATTGGGTTCTAGAAGGAGCGTGTACAACCGTCGGAGGAAGGTCATTCCACGCAGCTACTACCCGAAATGAGAAAAAATTTTGTCTAATGAATGTGTGTGCCCTGAGCTTGAAAATTTTCTTACTATGTCCCCGCCGTGTGTTTGCTGGGTCAACGGTGAAAAACCTGTTTGCCAACCTTTGTTCAAACAGGGTATAAGTAAGAATTAGGTCCCCTCTGAGGCGACAATATTCCAGGGGAAAGAGATCAAGCAACTGTAGACGGGTATCGTAGTTCACGAATTGGAGGCCAGTAACCATTTTCGTAGCGGGTCGCTGGACGCACTCATTGAGGGTGCATGCCAACACATCAAACGTCGGTTAGGATGCTGTAGACAGAAATAACAATGGTCCATCGGATATATACCTATATATTTATGTCTCTTAGTTTGACGAGTTATTACTCATCATCGTCGTCGAACATCCTTACCCTTTCGAACGCCTAACGGTTGTCGTAGCGCACCTTTGGCTCTGCTGATTTCAGAAGCTACATCGTTTCTTGGCGACCTAAAATGTCACTCCTGTTTTTTTATCTTATGGCGTTTAACTGCTCTGGAAGCGCTTGCCTCACTTCACTAAGTTCAGTAATTTGAGCCTGGTGTGCCTTCTCTTAGCACTCCTCGCCAACTTCGCTATTGGTGTACCCCTGGAAATTTCCCTACCGATGAAACCGCGGGTGGGGGGGTTGAAATTTTCCAGGGATGTTTGTTCGCAGATATTGAGCTTCCAGGTGATATTATTCACTTGGAAGTGTAATCCTTTTGAACTAACCCACACAATTTTCCCGTGCCATTTGGCATAACCTTCGCACCTGCGAATTGTACAGTGCCTCCACAAGACGGAGTGGTATCAAACCCAAACCATGTATGCAGGCCAGCTAGTCGATGTGGATGAATTTATTTACCAGGTCTAGTGTATGGGTTTCGGCTAATGACGAGATCCCCTCTTGAATCCGAAAGGTTTGGAAAGCTTCTGTCAACCGTCGATATCTATGGCAGCGTTCCTATACCAGCCATGACCTTCAGTGCTTAGCTGTCCAGCTTTCCGTGTCTAGACGACTAGGACGATCCCACAGCAACTGAGTCACTATTGTATCGTTTTCACTGCATGGTTGTATCCAAGACACTGTCCCGCTTTCTCTAACCTGGAATTAGCATACTCTTGGTTGATGGTTTATAGCTAATCAACTAGATGGAACTTTTGTTTACCTTTACGCATTAGACTCGACTTTCCACTGAGATAGTTCAATATCCACTGCGCTATAACCGTTGGCTTCATTTCCCAACGCAGACAACAAATCCGGACTGTCAGGAAATACAGTTAGCCAATAAAAATCCAGCTTTTACTTGACGTCTGTGATCGTGCTTTCCTGAGCCACTGCCTCGGGCAACCTGTTACTGTGGAGAAGGTATGCCGTGTTTTCTATTTCCACATGAGTGCATTGCAATCTGGTTATAAAGTCATCTCTGGTGTGACAATCACCTAGGTCCCTTGGTGTTCTATCAGTCTCAGTCTTCCTCGCCTGGATTTCCAAGGTGCATTCGACTCGGTTGACCGGTCTGTCCTTGATTCACTTGCCCACCAAAGAACATAATAAGCTCTTTATATTCTCAGACTTCGGGACGTATGAGTGTACGGCGAGCTTTCCAAAAGCTGCGTGCACAAATTGATGCCCGTAAAGGATGTCCACTCTCTCCATTCCTATTTAACTTCGTGATCGACGAACGGTGGACGGTTTCCGAAACCCCGGTGTTTTAATACCCTGTTACGAAAATCTTGTCGATCTGAAATATGCAGACGACATCGTTCTCCTCTTCGAAGAGGAGGAGAAGGCGGTGTTTTTTTGGACCAAAGCCGTCCCTTCCTTTGGTATACACTATGCACCCACAAAGTGTACGATCATGCTCCTGGACCTGCAGTCGCTGAACACGCCACTCACAATCCAGGGAGAGGCACTGGAAGTTGTGGAGCGTTTTATGTATCTTGGAAGTTGTATTATTTCTGATTGTAGTGTGAGAGGTGATGTCAGTGAGTGAATCTGCAAGGCCCGGGTTGCGTTTCCTAATTTGAGACACCTATGGCGTCAAATTGGTGTATCCCTGAACCTCAAGGGACGTGTGTATCAAGCTACAGTGTGGGCTGTTTTGTTGTATGGTTGTGAGACATGACCTGTTCGAGCAGCTCAACTTAGGCGTCCACAGGTGTTTGACAGTCATTGTCTCATAACCATAACTCGTGTAGGCTGGTGTCGGCGAATCCGTAACGAGGCAGTTAGAGGGCGAGTGTTCGATTATGCAACGGATACTTCCATTGAAGAATGTGTCCAGCACCAGAAGCTGCGTTGGTTGGTATATTTGTTACGTATGGCCAACCGTCGTTTGCCGAAGCGGGTGCTGTTTTCCACGCTCAACTGAGAGAAGCGGAAGAAGAGAGTTGGCCAGAGGGATATGAAGAAGATTACGAATCTTTTGAGTGCTGTCGGTGCTACTCTCTTTCCTGGATGAGGATCGCGAGATCCACCACTACACCTGGTTGAAGGGACTGCATGATATATCTGCCAACTGATGTCAGTGGCGTTATTGTTGTTAGTTTCTATCCAGATTGGCTGAATGAATATTTGAATGTGTAGGTACTTCAGAATGATTGTACTAAGCTAGGACTAAGTCCCTTCCCCCTTCTACCTTTATTTCCTTCACAATGAAGCTTTCAAATAAATCATGGTTTTACGGCAGCGAAGCATCGGTGTTGAATACTGATGATGATGATGATGACGACGATGGCGATGATGATGACAATGATGATGATGATACAGCATGGCGAATGAAAACATGCTGTTACTGGCACCTTTCTTCTGACAATTCCACGTGTTCTCTTTTCTGCCATACTCCACCCCAGTTGGAGTACCTTTTTTCACGAGTCCAAGCTCTAGTTCTGATTTCCTTTTTCACCGAGCACGACGCTCACCTGCAGATTCTGTGCGTCTGACTTTAGGAACAACCTTGAGCACTTCCAACTTGTTTTTAAATATTGAAAGCCGCCTACTGGGCCGCTTTTCATATTCGCACACAGAAGATAACAGGACAACAAGCGCCCGGATTCTCTCTGCACTGCTATGTTCTATGTCAAAAACAAATACACAGGAAGGAAGTATTGAGTTGTCTATGACCTTGCCCTCTTTCGGGTTCTGGCTGGGCACCTCGGTTGATGCAGAGGCCGTTGAAGCTGGATATGCCGAAGTGGGTATTGTGTCGATTGATCGAGGTGAAGCGTTTTCACTTGATTGGATACCCGTCCATGCTCGATATATCTCAGTAGTTTTGGCGTGGTCGGAAGGTCCGTAGTCCAAATCCAGCCTCTGCTTTTCAACGGCTCCTGTTTGATCATCATCATCATCGACAGCATGACATCAGTGTTGAACACCGATGCTTCACTGCCTTAATGGCTGTACGTGGGCTGGGATACTGCCAGGGCGCCCACACCTAGACAGGAGGACGATTAGGGTCCTCAACCAAAGCCTTTGGCTCAAAAGCCTAACCGCAAGGCAGCGGTGTTTGGCGGGAAATGCAAATGCATTACCATTTCTACGGAACAAGTCGCCACATGTTCCAACCCCCAACCTAGAGGGCCAGGTTTAGGTGTGAGCGAACCTCGGAATATCTTAGCTCTCGTTGTTTTCTCAGCCAGGCATCGAAAGGGTGCAGCAGCCGAAAGATAGCTATAACTAACTACATTATTTATCTCTGTGTGCTTTATTTGCAAACCTGTGAAAGTGAGATCCATCACTCTCTGTTTATTATGTTCGTCTACGTTTTGAGCAACTAGCTGTAAATCTGCCACGGTTAGTTTTTATGACGCTCTAGGTGTTCTCGCACAACGGGTTAAAGGCTCATATATCGTTGTGGTTACCCTTGAAATAAACGCTCTACTGAACGCGCTACTGGAGTCCAACTGGGTAGCCGTCCTGTGTCGGACACTAGGCGCACGAATAACGGAGAGCATCTGCTTCA